TCTACAGCATTCTTTTGGGAAATATTTTAAAGTCATGTTGACTGCCAATACATTACAAAGACCCCAGCAGACTCTTTCAAATAGAAACTTTTTGAAGGTTTTTTTTTTGACCGAAGTATAAAGAAATGACAAAATGACTCATTAAAAAATGAAAAGTTTTTGCTGCACTTAGAAATATTTAACAGGTTTCTGGTCTTCAGTTGGGAATTTCTTCACTATCTATCCATTACTGGGGTTCATGTTTGTATAAAGACCTTTAAGTTCAGGGGGAAAAATGCACTTCAATCTATTTTGTCCTTGTGTTTTAAATATTTTTTAGTACCTAAGAAGAACATGATTATGGATGGTTTTAATGTCTCCTTTTAGTTCTGAATACTAATTAGTCAAAATCTCCTCTTTGAAACTGTACTCAGTTACTTCTGGTGTTATTTACAGCACACAAAAGCCACTTGAAAAAATGTCGAGAGCTATTAAATGTCATTGTTAGAGGGTTTAAACAGTTCAGGGGATAAAGACCTTTTTTTCTTTAGGTCACCAAATCATTTTGCTTTGTACTAACTAAAAGATGTTTTCACATGAAGGTTGCTCATATGAAAACTTTGAGCTAGTTTTCTTTTTTTTTTTTCTGTTAAGAATCTCTTTAGTGTGCAATTAAAAGTTTCACAGGTAGCTTTTTTTTTAACTTAAAAAAACTATCAAACTTACAGAAAAGTTGCGATACAGTACAAAAAAACTATTTTTTCCGGAAATTTTGAGAGTGAATTGCTGACGTACCCTATCACCCTTGAATACTGTAATGTATATGGTCTACCTTCTTCTACAGAACCACAAAACAACCATCAAAATCTGGAAATTAGTATTGATGCACTATTACCATTTAATCCTTGGACCCCATTCAGATTTTTCCAGTTGTTTCTCTAATGTCTTTTACTGAGAAAGGTTCAGCTCAAAATCACATATGGAATTTAGTTGTCATAACTCTTCACTCTCCATAAGTCTGGAATAGTTCCTCAGTCTTTTATAACCTTGACACTTTTGAGGATTACAATCCAGTTATTTTGTAAACTATTCCTCAATTAGAATTTGTTTTCTCATGATTAGATTTCTGTTATGCATATTTGGCAGGAATATCACAGAAGAGATGCTCTGTTCTCTTTATTTTCAGGTGGCACATAATTTTTATTTGTCCCATTACTGATGACAATCCCTTTGCTCAGTTACAGTAATATCTACCAGTTTCTCCACTATATAGTTACTCATTTTATTTTTGTAATAAGTATTTTGGAGAGAAGCACTCTGAAACTATATAAATATTCCATTCGTCATCGGACTTTCAATTTATTCACTTACTAATGTCAATATGGACTCATGAATTTCTTTTTCTTCCATGGGTTATAATCCAATACTATCATTATTTTTTTGTGCTCCCTTGTTGCGGATTTGGCCAGTGAAAACACCAGCAGAATGTTTCTATATCTTTTTAATGTATCCTCTTCATTCTGTGAGCACTTCCTTGCTTTTTGGCACAACAAAATGTTCCAAACTCATCTTGTATTTTCCCTGTCCCAACCCTGGAATCAGCCATTTCTCCAAGGAACCTGGTTCCTTTAAGTGGAGAATGATATTTAGAAGTTAATATTTGGATGCCAGAAGTTGTAGTGTCACTGCTCCTACATGCTCTCAGTGGACAGGGCTAGGGACTACATGTATAAATACCTATACATACACATATACACGCATTTACACCTATATTTTATATCTATAGTAAGAGCCTGCGTTCATGCCAGTACCTCCATTTCCAGTACAGTACCACATGTTTTCATATTTGTGACTCCCCTCACAGAGGAAAACCCGGTCTCATTATTCTTATATTTAGTTATTTGATCAATCCCCCCTTTATATAACCAATCATCCATTGCCACTACTATATCCTTCTCAGCACAGATGCTCTCCTTTCTCATTTGGATTCTGACTTCCTGTACCATGGCCATTATTCTATATGGACACTCTTCTCAACTGCTTGAGCTCTGATACTCCCATCAAGGCTGCCTCTAATATGTGGATGCCTTCTTCACCCCACTCAAGTTCTGACACTTTGCAGTGGACTATTCTCATGCACAGAAACTCTCTTTACCCTGTTTGAACTCCATGGTGCCGGCTCCCAATGTCCCCATGTGGGTGCCTTGTTCACCCTGTTTAGGCTCTGACACCCGACATCAGAGCACCCCCATGCATAGATGTCTTCTTCATTATGCTCAGGGACTCTTCAGGCTAAGTTGTCTCTTAGCTTGAAAACTGTGTTCATCCCTCTCAGACTCCAGTTCTCCAAGTCAGGCAGTTCTCCTGCCTAAATGCCTTTCTTACCTTGCTCAGGCTCTGACTTCCCATGCTGTCTGCCCTCCACGTAGAATCCCTCCTCACCTCATTCGGACTGCCCACCCCACATAGGCACACCTTGTGCTGATTGATCAATAGCAGCCTGTCTTGGGCTGCCCCCTTTTCTTGCATGGACATTTCTCTCACCCATCCTGGGCAACCCCTTTGCTTTTATTTTTTAAATATGTGCATTTCCCCTACGGCCATACCACCCTGAACAAGCCCGATCCCATCTGATCTTGGAAGCTAAGCAGCGTCGGGTCTGGTTAGTACTTGGATGGGAGACCACCTAGGAAGACCAGGTGCTGTAGGCGTAAAAAATAAAAAATAAGGGATTGTAAGCTGACAAGGTCCTTGCAATCTGTGAGGTCAACCAAGGGTTGCCTTGCTTAAAAAAAAAAAAAAAGATTAACTGTCGAGGCAGTGCTTGTGTTCAAATAACCCTTATACTAGCCTAATTCTTAAAAAAAAAAAAAAAAAAGAAAGAAAAGAAAGAAATATGTGTATTTCTCTGCCTTTATGCTTTGCTGCTAACATCTAATGGGTGATGTGTTAAATTTCCAAAATTAGAATAGAATGTAAGTATAGTGACTATATTTTTTAAAACAAAAATTGAATATGACCTGATTATAGTATAGAATATTTAAAGTCAGTACTATCCTGAACAGTTTTGAGTATATAATTACCATTAAAATAAAGAACAAAGGAGAGTTTCTATTTCAGTAATGGAGGAATACCTCCTATTGAACCAACATTCCAACAAATAACAATTATAGATTCTGGACAAAATATGAAAACACCTATTACCTGAAGACATTAGAAAATGACAAAACCAACATGTTTTATGAGGGTTTTTTTTTTGCCCAAGGGCAGGCCCCAGTTTTAATCTCAAGGTGACCAAAACTTGGACGATAATTCACAGTTGTACTGGATTAAAAAACCATAGCAACCATAGCAGCTGAGCAATAAGAGGGGGGTGGGGAATCCTGGAATGGAGAAGACAGAGAGGGTTTTTTTGTGTATAAATTCTCTGGCTGATCCAAATCTCTAGCTGATGCTTGACCTATACATATATGAGTCAAACTCTGAGCAGCCCTTCTGAGGCTAAAATAACAAAAATTTATGCTTCTGCAAGGGTGACTGACATGTTTCAATTTTTCTGGGATAGTGAAAGTTCTGTGGCCTGGGAAACCCTCAATCCCAGGCATACTGGGACATTTGGTTACCTTAGCTGCTGCCCACCACAAATGAGACAGAGTTAAGTTTGAATCTAGGCAAGCTAACTACATGCTTTAAAAAGTAAAATAAATAAAAAGGTCTCATGCTCTTCAAAGGAACATAACAGAATCCAGAAAATCTATAACATATCTTTTACAATGTCCAGGGTACTATCCCAAATTATTAGGTCATACTCAAAGAAAAATGTCACTCATACTCAAGAGAAAAGGAAATCGATGGTGCATGACCCCAAGATGACATAGATATTGTAATTATAAGACAATGATCTTAAATGGCTATAATAGTTATACTCAAAGATGTAAAGGAAAATATGCTTGTAATGAATTACAAATAAGAAATCTCAGCAGAGAAACTATAAAAAAAGAACAAAATGGAAAATTCTAGAACTAAAAATAATAATGTCTGAAATAGAAAACTCATTGGACAGATTTAAGAACAAATTAAGATGACAGAAGAAAGAGTAAGTGGATTTGAAGATACAATGAAAGTATTCAATCTGAACAACAGAGAGAAAAAACATTGGGGGGAAAAAAGAATAGAGCCTCAGAGAACTGTGGGAAAATATGAAAAAAATCTATAACATTCATGTAATTGAAGTCCCAGAAGGAAAGGAACAAGAGAATGGAGGAGAAATAGTATTTGAAGAAATCATGGCTGAAAATGTCTCAAGTTTGGTGAAAAATGTAATTTTACAGATAAGTTCAGTGAACCCAGGTGGGATAAATTCAACTAAAATCACGCCTAGGCATCATAGTCAAATTGCGAAAAACCAAAGGTAAAGAGGAAATCTTGAAAGCATTCAGAAGAAAAGAATTTAATACACATGCACATACACACACACAATAATACAAAATATCACGGACTTCTCATTAGAAACAGTAGAGGCTAGAAGATAGTGGAAGGCCACCTTTAAAGTGCTAGAAAAAACTGTTAACCCAGAATTCTATATCAAGTAAAAATATTCTTTAAAACTGAAAGCAAAATAAAGATATTTCCAAATAAATGAAAACTAATTGTCATTCTCACAGTGGCACTACTAAAAATGCTAAAAGAAGCTCTTTAAAGGAGACAATACCAGATGGGGACTCAGGTCTTTATGAAAAAAATCAGAAACACCAGAAATATTAAGAATATAGGTAAATACTTCCTCTTAATCTCTTTAAAATACAATTTAAAATTTAAAATACAATTGCTGTGTAGATAATTCCTTTTATTCTCCTTGAGGCACTTTTTAGGAAGAATAGAGAAAGAATAGTCCTAATTTGAAGAGGAAATTTGCTGCTAAGGCTTCCAAATTGGTATCTTCGTTAAATTTAGGATGCTCAAATCTGAAAAAAAGAAATTACTCTAAACAGCTAATATTTATAATTTTTTTTTTCTTTCAGATATAAAACCAAATGCAGAACTGAAAAGCACTCAGGAGCAGTCTGTGCCCACAGGTAACATCAGATCTTTCCTCTCGAGCAATATAACTGGACTGAAATTACCAAAGAAAAGAGGAACATTCTGATTGCAGTAAAAAATGCTATGGAAATGTGTTGGGGGGAAAATGTGGTTGTCTCTTCCTGATACAGAATTGGCTCATCCATTTAGATGGTGCAAGTTCTTTGGCATCGTAGGACCAAACCACACCCTACCTAATGTTAATCATGTTTTTCCTATTTTTTTTTTTTTTCCAACTGATTGGTTTGAATAAAGACAGTTTTTGTTGAGTAACATCATAGCCTGTGTTTGAACAACTTGTGCTTTTCGCTGTGGAACAGTGGTCAGCAAATTTTTTTGTAAAGAGCCAGGTAGTAAATATTTTAGACTTTGTGGGCCACATATGGCCTCTGTTGCATAATCTCTTCATGTTTTTTACAACTCTTTAAAAATATAAAAACAATTATACCTCCTGGGACCATACGAAAACAGGCCATTGCTAAATTTGGCCCTGAGGCCATGGTTTGCTAACCCCTGCTCCAGAATAAACTATAAACATTTAAAATAATTTATTTCCTAAAAATAACTTCTATTTTTTCTCTGTTGATTAACTGACTTTGCATCAAAGCTTATGCCGTATTACAAAATTTATCATTTAAGTGACTTTTTGTGTTACTGTGAGTTGTAACCTTATATTTTAATTGAACTTGTATCTCATATTAGTTGTTCAGGTGTGCAGTCATTTCAGGATTGAGAAAAGTGAACGACTGTTTAAAACATCAACTGTTAAAGTATGAGAGTTTCTAGAATATGTGGTATAATATGCAGAAATTAGAAACTTCACCTATTTATAAATCCTAACGTGAGTCCATGATGACCACATTTTAAGGACCTCTTAGTCATGGGTTTTATGGAATATGTTTCCATTATACTCCTGCATTCCAATAAAAGTCCTGCTCCTTGTGTTCAGTCATAGCTGCAGCTGAAAGGAATGCCACTGTAGAGTTTCTAGTCACCTCTCCTACTTCAGCTCAGCTTAAACTCACAGGATTTAGTGTCTTTGACTATTTGTTGTTTCTAATGGGTTCTCAGTAAATATTTTATTGAGTATTGGGAAGGAATTTGATAGAAAATGGGTACCTTTTCAGTTCATTTCTTTTGTTATTATCTTTTTGTTAAGCTAACATGCTTATCTATGAAATAATTACAGCTACATTTTTCCTTTTTCCTTTTTTCTAATATTATCAGTTTATTGCACAAAATTATATTTACACAAAACTTGATTTTTAATAAGTTTGCTGTTTATTTAAGCATGTTTTTATTATTTTTGCTCCCTCTTATGAACTCTCATAACACTTTGTATTTCCCTTAATCACTTGTCTGAGTATACCTTATAGACTTGTATTATCTTTTGTCTGAGTCTTGCATTATAGTTATGGGCTTATCTACATCTGCAAAGTATAAACTCCTTGGAGACAGGAATTATGACTTATTGATATCTATAGTCTTGTCAGCATTTAGTAAATGTTTGAAGAAATAAAGAAACTTGAGGGCCAATATGTTTTCTACAGAATCACACTTAAAATGTGAATAGAAAGGGAAAATAGGAAGCTTACAGACTTTTTCTAAGGAAAGTATCTTTCCCAAATTGCATTACGCCAGTATTTTCAGGCTCAGTATTTCTCATCACTACATATTTATACTTCCTGGTCATAAATAACAGTAGCATCCTATTGAATATTGTGAGACATACCAAAGGGAAAAGAATTTCTGTCCAGAAGGAACTTGAGTGCTTTTTAATTCAAGATTTAAGAAAATCATGTCTAATAGGAAGGCGCATGAACCTCAGATATATTCCTAAACCTTGAGAGTTTTCACATATCCCACTTGGGGTATATGTGGAAGGGATACTGTCTAACACTAAAGAATCATATGAAGCCGACATGGGAGTCTACTTAATATGTGTTTATAAAAACCCTTTAAAGTTGTCTGCATAGTTAAATTCTTTTTATCTCCTAGAAGATCCAGCAATTTTGAATGACTACAATTTAACCAAACCTCATGAAACAGAAAATGTGGACAGCGCAGAATGCCCAACCAATGAAGATGAAGATACAGGAGGTGAGCCATAGTGTACGGATTGAAAACTAATGGTTATAGATATAGTTGAGGCTTAAAATGAAGAAGAAATCAGAAGCTCCCTAGGGAAAACTTGTGTTTGTGGATGGATTTGGGAGTAATTCAGTTTTGTTCACTTTACAAATATTTACATTTAATAATTTGTCAGCAAATATTGGTTGTAGCCCTAGTCCTGTGACCACTGCATCAGGTAGCAAAGAGAAAGTTGAGGTGATGTGGGAAAGGAAAAAAAGTATAGTCATCATACCAGTGCCATCTTCCCTTGGGAAAAATTGCAGTCATACTAGCATCCTCCCCTTTCCCCTCTCGCCCAGGTCCACTAGAAAAACCAAAGAATCTATCTGATGGGGACATTCCCTTAGACTCTCTCAAATTGAGTGTGAGCACCCACTCTTGAAGACTTGTCAAACAGCCTTTCATGCCTGCATCTCCCCCTGTCTTAAACAACCAATGTTTCAGTTGTCTGTTCCAATTCTCTATAAAGCTATTATTCTGAGAGCGATATCTCTTTGCCCATTGTTTGACATTATGGGCTGTAAAGTGTGTTCCTTGGTCTGAAGAAATGTGACTTGACAATGAAAATTGGTGCAATATCTTCTGTTCCAGTTCTTTTATAGTACTTTAATCATTTGTGTCTACCACCAGGTAAGCAAAGTCTAGTCCAGAGTCAATGTCTATTTTGTCCAAACCCATTTGTACCCCCCCTGGGGCTACTGGCATGGGTTCAGTGTAATCCACTTGTCAGCTAATGGGTTCAGTGTAATCCACTTGTGGGGCCTTCCCCATGGGGAATCTTAGCCATAGCCACCTGCAGCCTCTGTCTTTCTTGTTGACAGAATAGTTCTTGTTGGCATTCTAAGCCCCACAGTGTTCAAAAGGAACCTCTCTGCATTGCTGTGGTCCCCAAATGTCTACTTATTTCATGCATCCAGGTGGCCACCTCAATCAGTATCCACTCATTGGTTCCAGTTGCCTTCCAAACCTAGAGGGGGTTCTTTTGATGAATATCGACATATCCTACTTTAATGTACCCCTCAGATTCCCGTAACGATTTCCACAGGGCAGTGCCCCATAAAAATATCCTTTAATAGACTAGATTTCCATTGTCCTTCTGTCTATTCATATGGCCGGGCCATTGGCCATGATGCATGAGTCAGGTGAAAATTGAAACAGAGACTTTTATCATTGTTCTTCCATCACTGCTAACAAAATAGCATGTAATGCATCTCGCTGAGCTGATTTGTTTTTACCTTCAATCAGAGTAGTAGTCTTTTAAACAGGATATTGTCCTTTCACCTTGGAACTGCCATCCATAAACTAAGAAGGTCTTTGTTGGTCAGTCAAGTGCTATTTATAGGGCACTGTCCAAGTAATAGAATCTGGCAGCTCCTTACACAGTTCCAAGTCAGTCCTAGAAGAAAAGAGACTGCTCATGAGTATGTCCTGCTTGCATTCCCCAGGTAGCATTATCCTGTATAAACCATTTCCATTTTATTATGGAACTCTTCTGGGCACAGCCCTCCTCTCAATAGAGCGTTTATCTGACATCACCTAAGACATCATAGGTATTTCAGATATTAAGATTGTTTTTTGTTCTGTAGTCATAGGGACAGTTTCAGTTAATGTCCAATAGCAGGCTAGTAATTGCCCTGAAGCAGAAATTCTCTTGTCCAAAGTCTCAGTAGTCATTGCTGGGAAGCACTTTCAGGCTTTTGCTATAAGGCCCAGTCTATGCTCCTCATAGAGCTATCACACAGAATTTGTCCGTACCAGCACTCCAGCTTCTCTTCTGTGCTGTGTGGACTTGGGCAACCTTATCCATTCCCACTTAGCGTATCCAATTAATATTGCTTGAAGGTCGGATTTACATGCCTTCTGTTTTATGGAAACACTTTCCCAGTCAGACGCAATGTTTATCCTTATAATACATTCAGGTAAAAGAGACTCACCCACTTCAAACTTTCACCTTAATCTATCAACTCTTACATTTTTAACTCTAACCTCCAGTAGAATTCATCAATAGGTTTTGGTTTTCCAGTACTAGGTAGGGGAAGTGTTCCTTAGACACAACATCCATTACCATAAAACGATCAGGTAAAGGAAATACAACTTCGTCACATAAAGCCTGTTTAAATATCCCAATTTTCATCCAAACTTCCATCTTAATCCTATCAACCCTTACATTTCTATACTCTCAATCTAATTGAAGACTCTGTTAGGGTTCACCAAGTTTTAGTACTATAGTGCAGGAGGCTCCCTTGTCAGGGAGTCCCAGAAACTTTTTTTTTGGACCTTCTCCCCATTTTATCTTTTCATATGCAAAAGTTTGGGTCCCTAGGGAGAGGTAGAGCCAATAGACCCTGACCCTGGCCCTTTTGTCAATCTTTGTCATGATTAATCTGCCTGACTATTGCCCCTGACAATTCAGATCAGATTTCTCATTGTAATCTTTGCCTTCTGGCTTTTTTAATTGGGATGAATAGAGTGGACTTGTTTGGGGCCTTTTAATATAGAGTAAATAGCGGGAGGTTCCTTTAGTCCACCCAACTTTCATAATGTTGTAGTAAGACCTTTGTTTCAACTCCATTGGTGTTCATTTTATTTATCCCATTTCTTAATAACCATCTAAAGATGTTTACCCTACTAAAATGAGTCCCTTAACTCTCCTCCTTTCTTTTTCTTCTTTGTTTTGGCCTATTGATATTTTCTTTATTCACCTTATTTCTTAATAACATTTGTAATTTTCCACCTTACTGGGACAAGTCCCTTGACTCTCTCTTCTGCCTCTTCTCATTTTCTTGTTAATTAATCTAATGTTTTTATTAGCATCTATAAGACTCAAGAAGGGGAAGCTGAAACAGCAAATTTAAAAAGGCTTCTCAGAATGTTGCTTGATTTTGCAGCAGTAAGATTAAAGCCATGCAAAAGGGGTCCCTGTTTTAACTGTGTCTTCTTAGATTCTGTATGTATCTCTTCAGCAACCATTTATTACAAGGCCAGTTATGTTTCTTATTTTCTGCATTTTTGACACTTTAGGGGCCTTACAGACCTAGATTTCAGGTATTCAGAGATGGATCCTGGGATAGCCAATTCTTAGAAATAGCAGAAGGTTTGGCCAGAAGATTGCTTTTCATATACAAAACCAACCAATACAGACTATACCCTCCAACTGTCTCCTTATCTAACTCTCATACACTAAGCCAATATTTTCCCTGCCTGAAATCACAGGGAATGTTAGGGCCAAGTACAGGACTAGAGATCACTCTTAATGTCTCACAGCCTGCTGGAATTATCCAAACTAGCCAATTCTTAACTGTTTATCCTTCCCTGCCCTACCTTTTCTCAGGAACTCCAGTAAAGGCTCTGGCCTAGGATTTTTCCCTCATTTCTTTTTTCTTCTTTTAGACTAGCAGTGGTGCTTTCCCATGTGGCCCTGCATGGCATGTGGTACCTGGTGCCTCCACTTCGAGACCTCTGTGTAATAAACTTCCTTCCAAGCCTCATTCTCATCTCCTCCCATGACTGCACTGACTTTACCATTCCCTAGCCAACATGTACATTCTTTGGACACCCCATTAAAACACATATTTTATCATGACCTGCATAACAGGCATATTCAGTAGGTGACTGTCTTGATTATCATAAAGCCAGTCCCATGTGGCTTACAGATGAAACATATCAGCTGCTTCTTCTGGGGTTGGCATTTATAGAAGGAGTCAAATAGTCCACCTTCTCAGGATAAACAGACCTTATAGTAGCTTTTATCCAGTCCAATAGGCTGGCTGTTCCCCAGAGAGAAACATGTTCTGTGTCCAGATCATGTATAACCACCTGTGATTTTAGTGAATTTTATAGTGAGCTGTGGGTGTGATGTCAACTCAAACATGCTCTTCTGCTCTGTAGCATTCAAAACCAAAGACACCCTCCCTAATTTAGTCATTCTCACAATCCATTTAGGAAAAGTTCTTCAAGAATTTTATGATACAGATTCACAAAGTCACATTATACTCCCTGGTTTCGGTAGTTTATTGTTTTTGCCCTCCACCCCCAAACCCCACCCCCGTGTGAATTATCTTCTTGATGACTAGAGGTCTTAGAGCAACTCTCTGTTGTTCCTGCATAATTTTTCCCTTTGAGGACAGCTTTGAGCCTAGTACCCAGAGCTCAAACCAACTGAAATCTGAGCTTGTTCCAGCATCAAAGTCTGACCCAGCACTCTCTTTTCATTTTATTTTAGCTATTACAGATAACAATAATTGAGGGATTGTATATTTCATTGTTTTCTTATTAGTGTGCATTTCTTTATATATCCAGTGAACCAACTGCTTAGGAGTTGGATCCATCTCTGAATACCCTTGGTAATTTTACCTTTAGTAACTGATCACAGCACAGCTGCTGCTCCATGACGTGAGTGACCATGTGTCCAGGAATCAGAGGTTTCTCATCCCTCACTCTTTCTTCCTTTCTCTTCCCAAATCACATGTTGCTATTAGCCACCGGTCAAACAAATCCCACTTCTGACACCTATTCTGGAGTGTTTTCCAACACCAACAACCAATTCTCCAGTTCTCCAGACAGCAACTGGGTATCCAACAATGCAATTTAATTTTCATACTAAACTCCTGGAGTTAATGCAGAACCCACAGGTTAAGGGTTCAGCCTCATAAGATTGCCCTCGCTTCACACAGCAATTGAAAGTACCAGGTCCCCAGGTTACCTGCACTTCTATCCAGCCTCAGGTATAATAATTTGCTAGAATGACTCACACAACTTAGGAAAGTGCTTTACTTCCTACTACTGGTTTATTATAAAAGATACAACTCAGGAACAGCCAAATTGAAGAGATGCATATGGCAAGGTATGGGTGGGAGAGCTTCCATGCCCTCTTTGGGCATACCTTGATTTGTTCGCCTAGAAGTTCTCTGAACCTCATTGTTTAGGAGCTTTGTAGAACTCAATCTGCAGTCCCTCATCCCCTTCCT